CAGGAATGCTAGTGATGAGATGAATATGATGCTTAAAGGCCCAAATCTTACAGAATTTTTTCACAAAATGAAATATTCTGTTTCTCAAATGGAAAATATCTTAGAGATACACTACATCTTGGGTTGCTACTTAACGTAATGACAGATCTTTGTCTGGTGGCAAGTTCTCTTGCTATCAGCTTGCTGTGATAAGCCCCAACCAGAGTTAGTCCTTTGGCTAAAGCAGACGTTTGTCCTGCAATACTAAAGGAGAAATTTCAGATCTTGCTCATAACTCATACTGCTGCAGGCTATTCTACTAAAGGTAAAGAAAGCTGAGCCTAGTGGCTTAAGCCACCACAGGACTGCCCCGCAAGAAAACTAATGTATTATGCTGTGCTTGCTTGGGTATGCCACAGCCACAGACATGAACCACAGTTATAGCTGCATGAACACTGGAATTATGGTTTCTGTGATCAATGTGTGTTCAGCGCTGGGAGTTCTATGAGTGCAGCTCAGGGGTCTTAGAGCTTTACTGTCTTGGAACTGCTCTGTGACTTAGGTTGCAGTATATTGTGGAGGAACTTGTCTCTCCTTCTCAGATAGCTTGTGTGGACTCTGTGCAGTCTGTTACATTACAGCATATACATATACAGATGTCAAATCACCCACTATTCAAAGAACCTCAACAACATGAGCAGCTGAGTGAAGCACTGTGGTGCTGGGCTTTTTAATAAAAATGTATGTCTTACTTTACAAAAAAGTGTATATAAAGCAACAAAACCTAAACTATTCCTGGAAAATGTCAGTAGAGAACTCAAACAGGAGTACTTTCAATTTTGTCCTAAGCCACATCTTAGAGAACACAGTTGAAATCATCTTACCTTGCATGACAAAGCACCACATGCACATTTGATATCTGTAGTGCCAGTGCAAGAAAATACAGTATCTAACTTACCAATGCCTTTTCTGTGGTGCTCATCCCTGCTGTATCTGAGCACCATTTTTTTTTCTTATTTCCAAGATAAAAACTGAAAATTGTCCAACAAGCAGGATAAGGTTTTGTTATAGCATTCAGTATTTTACGTGTGTATATATATATATATATATATATTGTTGTTGTTAAAAAGTATTTTTTTAAACATACTTCAATCATAGATGTGAATGGCAGTTAGCATGTAGGTAAAGTGGGGATTTTTTCTATTAATAGGAAAATCATCTGCTTGTGATATCCACTGTATGGATGGCTGGAATGTAGGTCTGCACAAAGAGGTTGGAAGACTGAATCATATTTAGCAGGGCTGTGAGAAGCTTTGGGTGCTGCTTCAATTCAGAGATTTAACCCAATTCAGTGGCCAAATCTCCAAATCTGAATCAAATCAAGGGACCAATAAAAAGGTCTGAATTAATTTGAAGCTCTCCGAATCTTTGGAAAAGAGATTGCAGTTTTTCATTTTCACACAAAATTCATGCCTGTGTACTTTTCAAGACAACTATTACTGCTCCCTTTTAAATTGTGCCAATTTTGTATATTATTTTGAGCCAGTCTTCTGTATCTAACAGTGCTATTTCTCATTCTGGTCCAGGTATAAGTTTATCTATTCATGGGGCTGAAAAGTGTGTTCCAGTCTATCAGAGGAGAAGTGCGGCAAGCCATTCAGTATCACAGCGTCCGCCTGTGGTTAGGCATTCGTCGCTCCCACAAGTCAGAAGGTCAATAAAAATGGAAGCCTCATCTTATGGAACTGGTATATCAGCAGTCACTAATGGGAAAACAAAAATCCATCAGCCAGGTAACAAATTTGGTTAGACAACACTTTTCAGTTTGATTTATAGCCTGGCATTTGCTACAAACTTTGTGTTCATAATATCAGATCATGCTTGCATGGGAAATCAATATATTGATCAAAGTATCAATAGATTGATATTCATTCTGCCTGTTTTTTGTGTGCTTGTTTACACCTATTTTGGATATCTGAGAAAAAACAAGAGTTGGGACAGCTAGGTGATTATTTTTAAATAATATCCAAAACACTGCCATCTGCTTTGGCCTTTTGCTGGAGAATGCTGCTTTATATAGGCTTAACTTGGGTTAGACACAACACTGAAGTTCTGTAGGCATCGCTCCACAACTCAGGAATCCACCCTGAAAGTATTTTTTAATTGATAATGAAAGCTTGGTGTAGACTGGAAGAGTCTCAAGGATGGAAGGAGCACTTTACACAACATACTAACTGGATAGCAGAAGGAAACCCTTTTTAACAGTCTCCTGGAAGCTCTCAATTCCTGCCTAACATATTGAATTATTTTTTAAGCTAATTTCCAGAGCTCTTTTTAACATTTAACATGCAATCAACAGAAAAAAACTTTTCTTATACCAAAATAATATCTCTATATCTATATAGTGTTTCTTCAGATATTTTTTGCAAAGAAAATGAAAGTTCAAGTTTCCTCCTCAGATAGAATAAGTGGAGATCAGGACTGTGAACTAATAAGGTAGTATTTAGTAGGCTCTCATAATTAAAGACTTCAAGAAACTTAATTTTTCTGCAATTAAAAAGGACATTGCTGCAGTACATAAGTAAACGGGATCTACTCTCCCAATCCATAAGGAATTGTGTGTGAAATAAGGACAATTCCACATGCAACCCCTCGTGTGTTACATCGACATAATCTTTCCAAATATTTAGTAAATGCAGTACACTTACTGCAAAATGATTATGGACTAAGTTGGTATACAGCTCTTAGTGCTGTGAGTTTCAGATTATGATGTTGCTAACAAAGTTTCATCACTAGATATGGAAATCTCTCTAAGTATTTGTTAATTAAAGTGTTATAGTAACACATATTCTTGCATATTTTGTTTGTCTCTGTTCATTTCTTGGTTCTTTATTCTTAGCTTCTATCTATTTTTCCCTCCTGTTGAAATGCATAAGTTACTACTGAAACAATGTACTTGTATTAGGTCCTCGAACTGCAGCATAATATTAATTGATCTTCTTTTTGTTTAATTTATGAAGTGTTGTGAAATATAGGTTTTATGTAATTATCATCAACATATACATGGTATGAACACCATTTTATTTTTGTACCGATCTCTTCTGTCATCTGTTTACTTATATCTTAATATTTACTACTATATGTAAGACATAAACAACAAATATTGATCCTGAGTTGGGAAAATGTTCCTTCAGAACTAAAGTCTATGCCATAGCACTCCTTCCTGAATGGGGACCATTAGGTATGAGACTTTGGATGACACTTTTTGGAGGAATCTAGCATTCTATAAAAAATATGAAATTAGTTATGTTCCACTATTACAGTGGTTTTCACATTTTTATTCATTTGGGGACCCCGAAAAAATGTTGAATGGAGGTGCAGATCCCTTTGGAAATGTCAAATGGAGATGCAGACCCTTTTGAATTGTAAATGTGGGTTTTCACATACCATAGTCATAGTGATCGATCATAGTCATCTTTCATAGACCCATTAGACATAGTCCATGGACCGCCAGGGGTTGTTCAACCACAGGTTGAAAACCACTGGACTATTAAAAACCTAGTTTATTAGTAGCCTTTGTAGAATAATAGGCAGTCCAGTTTAGGGCACTGAACTTCTCTGAAGCTAATGTGAACTCAAGCTTCATAAAGCTTTGCAGGTCTGAATCTGTACTAATAAACAGTATTGCTTTTTTCAGTTCCACAATAAAACTATGGTATTGTAATTTGGAACTTAAATGTTCTGTTGTAGATCAGAAATTTAACTCCCTATATGGGTTAAATAATTTAATTCCAAGAGTGTTGTGTTCATGCAATTACGATAATAACTTTTCCTCTACAAAAGTTGAAAAACCTGTTTTATTAATTCATACTAAATTACAACTTAATTGTTGATTTCCTTAGTTCTATAAATAACTAGTTAAACACTTTTTTAACCAATTGATTAATTGTATTCAAAGCCATAGATTAGAAATGGAGTAGTGGTGAAGAATAGAAAAGGTTCTTATTTATATTAATACAAGGAATGATCTAGATAAAAATATGTAACAATATTATGTTCTCATACTATGCTTCTGCCATGCCAGAGTTGTCACATACCATATATTCTCAAGTTTTTTCTTCAGTCTGATTTTAAATAACTCAAACCATTGGCTATTTCCTTCCCTTGAGGTTTATTCACACAGTCAGATTGATCTCATTGTTAGAAAAGTCTGCCTTGTATTCTGCCTTTTTTTTAAGCTATTAGTTATTATTAATAAGCGAAAAGCTATTAAAATGTGAAGAGATGGGTATTAATAGATATAGAGTGGTGCTATGAGAACTTAAAAAGGTGTATCCAGCTCTTACCAATTATTGAAGTGAGTGAAGGAACAAAATGACTCTTTTAATTAAGTGATAGATTAAAAAGGAAGTGTATTTTCTTTCTCTGACAGCAAACTGCTACTGTTTTCTATACCCAAAGTGATTTCATTGTCATTTCTCTTGCTTCCCAAAAAAGCACATTTTGTTGATAAACACTTCTTATATAACAATTGAGCTTTTTTTTCATTATTATTATTATTATTCGGCTACATGTAATAACAGGTATAACTGGGCAGTTCTGTACCCTAGGTGGTGGCAGAACTGCATAGGGCTGCAGTCAGGCTGCTGGCAGTGGTCGGGTGAGGGAGGGCAGAGCATAGTAGCTGCTATTTTTGCACTCCCCCTCCAGATTTGGCACCCTGGGGCTGCTGCCCCATTCATCCTTCCCCCTGGCCCTTAGTGACACTACTGTATAATAGGAACCTAAACTCCAGTCAGGAAACGTTATTGATTTTTTTTTAAGTGTGGTCAGACTTTATCATTCCCTTACCAGGTAGTCTTTCTTTCTAGTTTTTTCCCCTCCCAATTCCAAGCTGTTGCAATTGGATGGCTTATATTGACTATCACTCTGGGTATTGTTATTTCTACACCAAAAAGTCATTATTTTATTTGAGGGGGCGGCAACAAATTCACTATTTTAGTAACTGCCCTTAAACTAAGCTCCTCACACCAATGACTACTGTACTACAATTACATGTAGCCTGTAGAGTGTTTTGTTTACAACTGCCTTTCTTCTTCTGTGTCTATTTCTGGTGGTCTCTATCCATCTCTTTCTACACACCTCATCTTCTCACATTCTGCTTCCCTTTGATCACATGGAGAGATATAAAGTGAGAGCAGAGATAACTTCTGGGTTCCCTTGTTGGTTTTCCAACTGTTTCCACACTCTCCAGGCATTTTTAAATACTGAGCGCCCTGGTCTGTATCAGTTTAGCTAAGGAATGAATGAAAGAAACTGGCTGTTTTAATTAAATTGCTGTTATATCTTTAAATTAGTGCAACTTGTGTGTAATAGTCAAACCCAGAATGTAGTACTATGGACTTAATTTCCATTCTGAAGCTGCAGCTGGATTGGGGAAGTTTTCTAATTTCTAGAAAAGTATACAACCATATTTAGGAAGGGGCGTATCATAGCTGATAGGGCATTGGACTCAAAACAACTAGGTCAGGTCGTCAGCTGTTGTAAACTGTCTAAGGTCCATTGAGCTTGTTTTTAGTAGGTGTAAACAAACTTAGCACAACTTGTTCTGATTAGCACCCATACAAACTGTCTCAGGATGTGGTCCAAGGATTGAAAAACATGGAGGCTAAATTTTCCACTTGCTGTGTCAGGGTAAAGACAAATTTGAAACAAAAATGAGATCACATTGCTGATATTTATGCTGTTCCCATCAATGAACAGAATTTCAGATTCCAATCTGTCAAATGGACATTTTTTATAAACATCCCACTTAACTTTTAAAACATTTATTTTATTTAGCACATAAAGGAAAATCAATATGCACAGAAATACATGGAGTAATTGTACATTACTCCGGCAATGATTTTCCAGGATAAGTTTATGTAATCTTTCCTAGCAAAACACAGATTATACTTTTTCTTTTTCCTTCACAGGAATTTGTCTTTGAAAGTATTTTTTTTTGTTTTTTCTGTTGTTTTTTTTTTTACAGAGTTCAATGAATGTGGTTCTTCTTTAATCCAGAAGACTAAGAACTGCTTAAGTAGTGTATTTATGTTTAAAAGATTAAAAATCTTCCCCAAAAGTCAAAGCAAAGTAAAAATTTAGTTTGGATTTTTTTTCTATACCAAATAGATAGCATGTAAGCTTATTCACATGTTAAAGGAACACCTGTTGAACTCACTAATTCCTTTCATGCAAACAGAAGTTTAGTATGCCTGTTAGAATTCACTTACAATCTTTTTGTCAAACTCCTACTATTTATTGCAAATAGTAGAAGACAGAGAAGTTAGAAAGAAATTGAAGAAAAATGTAGATTGCCTTAGGCATGCTTTCTCTGATTTTTAGGAAGCTGTTTTCTTTTGTACGGCTCAGTGAATTGGTTCACTTTCATTAATTCTTTTAGTTGCAAGGCATGAAATAAGAAAAAAGAGGTCGTGGAATTGTTTGGTAGAACCACTGATTTTAGGAGGCCCTGAAAAATGTGTAATGTTAGCAATTGTGGCAGTCAAAAAACAAGAGCAAAAAACCCACCCAAATTTTAAAAGGGATTGTGTACTTTATGGCTAAGTACAGAAAGTTAAGAAACCCAAGGCTGAATCAATTCAATCTTCGCTGGTTAGTCTAAGCTGCACAGATTGAACTGATAAGCAAGTGAACAGACATTCACTTCTACTTCCAGAAATGCAGCCACATGTCTGCAGTGGCCCAGGCCAGAAGCTGGGGGGCACTAAAGAATGCCTCCCTGCTCTGC